AGCAAGCAAGCCTCCTGCTCGCTTCAGCTGTGTTGCTTCTGGCTCCCATCTTGGTTGGGTTAATTTGCATATCATGCTGATTAGCCAATGGGAGGCATAGCAAAGGTATGGTCAATTACCATGTTTATTTATTATTAGATAGCAGGATATATATTTTTAAAGAAGGCATCACCTGGTGCAAAATCTTAGTTGGAACTTATTTCTTTGCAATGTATTGAATGTTATTCTATTATTTTCAAGCTTTTATATATCTACTAGAGGCCTGGTGCATGAAATTCATGCACTGGAGCGGGGTGTCCCTCAGCCCAGCCTGCACCCTCTACAATCTGGGACCCCTTGAGGGAAGTCTGACTGCCAGTTTAGGCCCAATACTGGAGATCGGGCCTAAACAGGCAGTTGGACATCCCTCTCACAATCCAGAATGACTGGCTCCCAACCGCTCGCCTGCCTGCCTGCCTGATTGCCCCTAACTGCTTTTGCCTGCCAGCCTGATCACCCCTAACTGCCTTCCCTGTAGGCCTGGTCCCCCCTAACTGCCCTCCCTCCCCTGCAGGCCCAGTCACTCCTAATTGCCCCTCCCTGCCAACCTGGTACCCCCCAACTGCCCTCCCCTGCCGGCCCTCTTGCGGTAGCCATCTTGTGATGACATGGGGGTGGTCATCTTGTGATGACATGGCCGCACCCATCTTGTGACCGCATGGGGGTGGCCATCTTGTGTGAGGGCATGATGGTCAATCTGCATATTACTTCTTTATTATATAGGATTGAAAAGTCAGCTGTTGTGTTGCTGCTTCTTTGAGGGTAATGTGCCTTTCAATCTCAGACATCTTTAAAAATGTTTGTTTTAGTTTGGTTTTTAATAGTCTTGCTATAATGTTTCTGCTATGGTTAAATTTGTATTTACCCTGCTTGAGATTCACATATCTCCTTGAATGCATGAATTTAAAGAAATTATAGACATCAGTTTTTCAAATATTTCTTTTACACTATACTTCCTTCTCTATGTGAGATTCTAGTTACATGTATACTGGATCCTTCTATTGTGTTTCTTATTTCCTAAGCTTTTCTTTCTGTACTCTTTCTGTTTGGATATTTATAACATGTGTTTCAGTTCACTAATCCTGTGTCCCTCTCTGTATAAATTGTCA